TGCTCACCAGACCTTGTGACCAAATGTTGTAGAAAGGTGGCACAACGTCGTCGCTGGCGATATCTTCGTAGGCCAAGCCAAAAATACCATCGAAATTCGAATCAACAAAAGTAGAGCTGGGCTCGCTGGTGGCTTCAGCAAATACTTGATTTTGTATGGTTAGACCAGATACTCTCACTGTGTCCTCTGACAGATAACCAGATAAACTACCGGAGCCATATTCGATGGAGAAACTTTCGCCATTAGCCACATAGGTGCTGGAAGCGCTCGCCTTATATTTGTTGTGTTTTTGACAAGCTGTGTTGCTGCTGGGGCAGGTGGATGATGGTATCCACAGATTTGAGGAACCGGTATCGAAAAGTACCACGAATTCTTGTGCCGGTGTGCCAATGGTGATTTTGCCGTAGTATGCCACGTTGTAATCATTGGTCAATTCCTCGGCAGCAGTGTTCGCAGCAAAGCTGATACCATATTTGGTGCCCAAGAAAGTTGCTTGGTTTTTCACGAATTCGATACTCTTGCTATGATTGGCATTCTTGTAGACTGGGACGCGTATCAGATTAGCCGAGGCCAAGGCAACGCAAATGGCAAAGAATACGAAGAACTTTAACATTTTGGCTGTAAGATCAAAAAAGGAATATGTTTAAGTAAAAAGATGGTTATGTGTCCTTAAGGCGATGAATTAGCTTCTTACTTTCAGTAAACGGTTTAATGTGGATCACACCGAATGAAGGTTTTTCACCCCGCTTTTATACTGAAACTGAGATGGTTTGTTTGAACAGCTTTGTATTCGCAATTCATTGCTTTTTTTTACGAATATCTTAAGCTAATAAATAAACTCACCAAAGACTTTCTTTGCTCACGCGTCATATAGCGGGACAATTTTTTACTTTGTTTTTTTTTGGTAGGCTTTGGCCCTCAACACACCTACGGCCTTATATCAATACTTGAAAAATAGGAGCGTGTAAATGGGATTTTTATAAATTTAGTAGGCTGAGAGTGCTGTAAAAATCTTCTTCCCGAATATTTCCGCATGTTATTTGAAAGAGCAGAAGTATTTTTTAAAGTGATGTTCAAAACATAAGGAACTAAATAAAATAAAGTTACTTCTTTTCGAGGGATTGTTGTTTGTATCAAGTTTGAGTAAATTAGCGTCCATAAATTTCGAAATATTGAAGTTTCAAGCATTTCTAAAATTTACTGTTATATGAAAAGCGACCGTAATTTTAGTCCGATTTCGACGATAATTTTCGAAGTTTTGCTTTTTTGTGACAAGCACAATAACCACACCGAGTTCGATACAAATTGGTAGAACGGTTACTGAGATACATACATGTATGTGATCATAAGTAGACGGTGGCACGCCCATTTTCCAAAATTTTATCATAAACGTATTTTGTCGCAAAGAATTATTGCAATTATCACTTTTGAATAAATTAGCTTCAGTATTTACTGATTTATCGAGGATTTCGTATTTCTCTAAATTACCGTTATATGGGATGTGGGCGTGGTTATTGTTCGATTTTCAACACCTTTTTGCGTAATTTCACGAAAGGAACTTTTCGAACAATTGGAAAATCACACCAAACATTGGGAAAAAGAAGAATATTTACACCTGTGTAATTTTTCAGTCAACCCTTTGTT